CGCGATTACAACCCGATTCTCATTAGACCGGAGCTGCGCCGCAGTGATCACACCCGGTCCTCGCTATACCCGAGCCGCGCCGCAGCGATCACACCCGGTCCTCAATATGCCCGAGCCGCGCTGCAGCGATACACCCCGTCCTCACTATACCCGAGCCGCGCCGCAGCGATCGCACCCGGTCCTCACTATACCTGAGCCGCGCCGCAGCGCCGCCGCGATTACGCTCGGTCCTCCCTATACCTGAGCCCACCGCAGCGCCGCCGCGATTACGCCCGGTCCTCCCTATACCTGAGCCGCGCCACAGCGATTACACTCGGTCCTCCCTATGCCTGAGCCGCGCCGCAGCGATTACACTCGGTCCTCCCTATACCTGAGCCCGCCGCAGCGCCGCCGCGATTACACTCGGTCCTCCCTATACCCGAGCCACGTCGTAGCGCCGCCGCGATTAGACTATTGGTCTGTCGGGAGCCGTGCGGTTCATCCCATCCTGACCGCCCGTGATAAGGAGCGGCCGCGTGCGCGGGGTAACTCCTGGCCGAGGGCTCGACTTCATCAGCCGCGCTCGGATTAGTTACGGCCCGGCCGCTTCGCGAGCCGGCCGACTCGTGCTCCATCGCACCGCACCTCCGCCGCGGCGACGGACAGTATGCTTCGCGTCGCGCAATGGGCGCGGCCGATGGCTGTGGCCATTTTACGGCGTCGTTTGCCGCGTCGTCGGGACGGGGCGCACCTGAGATGAAAGCCGTACGTCGCGCTAACGGTGCCGGCGCGGCCTCCAGCGACCCGGGCAGTCTACAGCGCCGCACTCGTCAGGCACCTGCACGTCGGTCGTCGCTTATGGCCGACGTCGCGCAGTGACTCTCCGCGGCCAGAGGAGCCATCGTTGAAATGGACGCGCGAGCTGGAGCGTTCTGCTAGCCGTCGACGAGGCGCTTGCGGGTTCGTTCTTGGGGTTCAGGACTGCAGAGTGGTAGCGAGAGCTGATCCAATTACCAGTTCTAGGAAGGCAAGTTCCGAATAGGGTGTCCAGTGCTGAATAATGGGCCGAACACCAGACCTAGGGAAGTCCGGTCTTTAACCACGTTTGGGGTCATCGGCCGGCTGTACATTCCTGTTTGTACCAATGAGTGACGCTGATGCGAGCGTGGAGGTCCAGTCATACGACAGTGGAATGAGACAAGGCACAGCTGGTCACACGATCACGATGGAGAAGCTTCCCGTCTTAGCCAGCCAGGCCGCAAGAGATGGAGCGAAATCTCTCCACAACTCGCAGTCGCAGAAGTTGCAGCTTCAGCTAGCCGTGTAACACGAGGTGGAGACGTCGCCTGCTTCGGGAAAGGGTTATGATATCCCTCAATGACGCTGCCACACACCAAAAAGGAACACCTAAAGAAGCGCTGAGATATCGCGGTTAACATACGCACTGTACTGACGAGAAACAAATGAAAATGAATGAATATATTAAGGTATGTTTCATCTACGACCACCTAGGGGTCAAAGTGCGCTTGACCTTGCGATGGTTTCAGAACTGCTCCAGCCAAGCTTACACAAGGTTAGGTGACTGTCAAAATATCGATTGAACACATTCTGAACAGACAGGGAACAAAAACATTTCGGTGCTCTTATCAGGTCACGAATATGTGACGTCATCCGGACGGTCCCCACGTCTGCCTGCGATTCAGAAGGCAGCAATCCGGGTTTCCTGTTTTCAGTTGACAGCTTGCGGTGATTAATCCGTAAACCGGATACGGCTATTAGTCCAGCCAGCCCGGTGTCTATCCCAGGTCATCTGCTCCAGCAAGGTTGCCTACAGTTCTCATTTGCGATCAATCATAAATTAACACAACTTGCTCTGATTCGATTATCACCAACATCTGACAGGCCTAAGTGCTATGGCATGTCTCTGATGCGAAGAATCTACGTCGCTCTCTGCGTTTGGAGGACTTTGGTGATCGCGGAAGGTTTTTAGAACTTCTGAGCCGCTGTGACGGTAGCAGCCTTCTGACAAAAGTCAACATAACATTTCCAGGGGGAAATAGCCAGGACTATCGATTTCCGTTCGGGAGTGTCCAGTCCAATGGTTAGACCCAGAGATAACGAGGGAGATAAAAGCAGCCTCATCTGGCTGGCGCGGCCGGTGAAATGCCCCAGGCGCTGCCGGGTTCTGAGGTTACAGCCGACCTGACTGCGGGGTACGCGACCGGATTACCGGAGCGCGGCAGCGGAGGAGGAGGGCACTCCAGCGCCTCCAGATTTAACGATGGCTGATAGGTCCTCCGTTGCTTTAATGACATCAGTTGGACACCGCAGATAGCTGTAATCTGATTACGTGCATGGTTACCGCCTGATTACGGGCTCGTCAACCAAGCAAGAAGTGCCTTTGGGAAATGCCTCAGTCTGCTAGCTTGATCTCACAGACGTTGAGATGAACCAACAAGTCACCAAACAGAGGCCGCGGCGCCTTCACTCGACTTAGCAGCCAGCATCAATCAGCCGTATGCATTGCAAGCCACACACGTTCGCCAACACTGGACAGCTTCGGCTGCAGAACGTTGAGAGTAGCTTCTAACAGCTGATAGTAACAACGGTATCGGCGCCCCTCCGAGTTTGCGAGGGTGCGGTGCAGCCGCGAGCGATTTGCATCCGTGTCAGCCTCTGACACCGATGATCCGCCTTGACCTTTGAACCTGCTCCCCTGCAGACCTCATGCATGTCTACGACCATTTAACAGAGTCATCTGTAGGTATTGGGCCCAGTGCAATCCAGCCCACAAACCATTGAGCCTGGAAACATCTATATCGCCCGATAAGGCGATCTGCCCGTTTGTCGTCGTCAGACCGCGGTGCGGCGGATTTGTTCCAGTTTCGTGTGCATAGCTCAGCGGTCAAATATGTCTCGCGATAGCGTCTCCAGGATTGATTAAACGGAACTACGCCCCACTAGCCGGACCTGCAAATGTCGGCATTGGAGTGCACGCATCCCTCCGGAAGTGTGCACCATTCATATGGTCTACAATGCGTACCTGGTTCCCGAGATTCTTCACGGCAACCAGGTAACCTGGTTCTAGAGCCAGAAGAAATCAGTAACCACGCTGGAAGCATATCCCACAAGAATCAGGATACAAGAAACCAATAATGTCCAAAGATCCAGCATGGACGATGCAAAGATCCAGTAAAAAAGAAGATATAGCTCAACATCATTAGGGAATGTTCTAACTTTGAAGATATTGAAGAAAGCATCAGATATCATAAAATAAGCTGACTTTTGTGGAACCAAAAAGCCTTTTTTCTGCTCAGTAAATTCACTCCTCAATACGTCATTGTTATATTACGTCATCGTACTTTGCACAAGATTGAATGAAAGTCAAATGACGGAAGATATGTATGGAAATTGTGCTCATGAACCCCAAATACGATTGACTTGATAATTACATTGTGATCGGCCTTGATCGCCGCGTGCCTAATGGAATGACAGGATTCAAATGGCGTTACATGAATCCCTGGGTAACATTGGAACAGTCATGTATGGTCTACGTCTACCGTAGGGTTTAAACACCAAAGCTTTCATTCCAATTCATCTCGCTTCTCTGCCGCAGCAAAGCCACCACTGACACGCCAGTGCGCAAACTCCGGCAAACAGCAGGCGAAGGGCGGCAAGAGGTCAGCCCGTCGCGGTAGCGGGTCGCATTAATCACGGCGCGTGCTCTCCTGCCACGGCGGCTGGTGCGCTTGCTGGCGTTTATCGATTCGGCCCCAGACAGGCAGCGCGGTGCCGGAAAGAGACCCTGGGACAAGGACCCCCGGTATTCGCAGCCTTCCGCCTCAGATGCCACCAATACCAGGCTACACCTCAAGCTGTCAACGCAGGCTCAGTCTGCCAAAAGCAGGCAGCAGTGTCAGCGGGGTTCTCGGAATCTTCAGCAGCCGTCACCGCAACCGCAAAACAATCCCATATGTTATCCACAGCTTGCAGCATGCATCGCCATTGGATTCTTTCGGTGCTCTCATTCCCCCGACTACTTTGAAACATGTACACTAGTTGGCGAGCCGAGACTCCCGGCGATCGGACCCGTCTACCAGAGCCATCGGCACGGTCCTGCGCCACGGACCGGCAGTGTCACCCGCCGGGTCGTCCGAGGCTCGGCGTACTCTCCTGACGCGGACGCGAGCCGATCACAAACTGACCGGCCACAGATCAGCGGCGGATCAATACGGCAACACCGGCCAGCTCGCGCCACGGCTTCGGCGGCCGGGTCCCGCGCCTTCTCCCCGTCCGACAGTGCGGGCGTCGACACCGTCGCGGCCCGTAGCCAGCTATCGGCGAGCGATAACGACGCTCGTGGGCGAAGTTTGTCGGCGCGAGGAGGCGAGCGAGAGCCGGCGCCGACAGACGAGAGACCCTGGTGTTTTCCCACCCGGCTGGCGCGCGGAGGAACAAGCCGTAATGAGAGTGGACAACTTTAAATGGCGGCGGCTGTCCGGGCGGCCGGAGCGAAGTGAGGAATATGGCGCAGAGCGGCGGCAGGAGTAAGAGGGGTCCGCAAATACCGACGATTTCAACAGCTATAATGCGCAAGTGTTTAGTTAGTGGGTACGTACTGAGGTTCGTACGTTTGTGTCGTTAGATCTGGAGAGAAACACCCACACAGCACCGATTTTATCGCTCTATGTTGAAAATGTCCGACTATTTTGAGCCGATTGGTCACGCAAGCTATTGCGCTTGTATGGCATCGACCGAGCCAATGAACGATTCAGATGCTCTGGACCCCTCAGATCCCGACGGCATCAAAACGTAAGAGGTCAATAGCTCTCCTCACGTCGAGTAAATGGGCCATCTGCTGACGCGGTGTCGGCGTAACGGCCGCGGTTACGCCCTTCATCGATTTGATTGGACTGCTTTGGAGGGCATCCACAAACGCCCAATTCGCCAGGCGATTGCAAAAACGCCACTGCGCGTGACATCTGAGATGCAAGTGGTTCCTGAAAAAAAA